AAATAAGATTTAGCTTGATGATTTCTATCAAGTATTAATTTTAGATGACGTTTGAGAAAGAGATGCAATCGAATTTTAAATAAAAGAATCAAATTATTTTCACGAGTTAGAGTCACATTTGAAACATGGAAGGATTGAATCATCTGGAATTTGGAAGTAAACATGAATGTCGAGTATATAACTATCTGATAAGACTTTTGAATCATATTGAAACTGTTCGTGATAGTACAGAATTACTCTGATTGTATTAGACGTATTCTATAGAAACTCAGATGTTCTGTTATATCCGACATCTCTATTGTCATTTATTTTTTCTCTTTTCTATTGTTTCTCTTTTTTCCTTGTTATACCTGATAATACATATAAATATGTGATATACACTCGACTAGTCAGATCATCTTTTTTTCTTTAAATAAAAGTTATGTTTCTCCTAGAAATGACCTCACGTTTGTCCTTAAATTTATTGTAACGAAAGGAAAGCATAACAAGTGATGACAGCGATGTTTTCAACAACAACAATAATTCAACACAACAACGGTATATTTATTAAACAAAGAAACCTTCCTTAATTAGGATTTGATTTTGTGATTTACATTTACGTTAAATAATTTTAGAAACATCCTTCTTTGTTGATTGTCTCTGTCAATGAATGCATAGTGATTTGGAGGAATTCTCATTTTTTTATGGAATGTGTTCATGATTATTTATTATTTTTGTAGTTAATACAGATGATTTTTATATGTACATTGAATGCACAATCGCACTCGTTCACAACTAAATTTGCAAGAACGTCATATCTCTGATTTATTATATTATACTCCCTTTCGAACACGCAGTAGTCTTCAATTAGTTCGTGAAAAGACAAAATCTTATTCATCATCTCAACCGACTTTATTAACAACTATGTCAACACCTCAACCAACATCAGAATTAGTTGAAGAACAAAAAACTTGTGATCGTATGGTTCAGTTGAAAATTAAGTCAAATTTACAATTATCAAGAGAGAAAGAAAAGATGGCTTTACAATCTATCAATAAATTAACTGAAGAAGAAATGGTTCACATCGACCAATGGTTACCTGTTTTACATAAAACATACGAAGAATTGGAATATCCGTCATCACATCGTGTATTTCAAGCAACTACATATTTTAATGATGAATAACAATTATGGTATGAACGGTCGAAAGCTGAAATTAATAATGACTGGTCATGTTTTTGTGATTGATTAAAATGGCATATTCAGGATCGTCAGAAAACTCAAATAAATTCTCCATCAATGAGTCATCCATTATCTGACATTGATGAAATAACTTTGTTGGAGAATTTTATTGATACAAAATTTATTAAA